ATGTTCTAGTGAAGCGATTTCATGATAAATAAGTGAGCTATGGGCCCAAAAGAACTGCTAAACTATGTTTTTGTTAGGACTTCAATTTCATGGCTTCCCGCAAAGGAAGCCATTTCAGAGAGAAGCGGCATTTTGCAAGCAACGGTCGCGACCTATTTTTGATAACTTTTCCTTCTGATTCAACGTGTAGTTACTAGAAAATGAGGTTGCATCAACATTATTATCTGCTTTCTCGATTTAAAGTTTTATGGGGATATAAAACCCAATAGAAAAAGCGTTTTAAAAGCTTTAGAACTCAAGTGCAGACTTTTTGAAAATTCGCACGCGGCAAGCAAGCGCACTAATTCAATACACTTATTTTAAACCACAATATGTCTGAAACGAGTTGTCGTTTTAAGACTAAATTGATGAAAATAGATATAACAGTGATTTTGGAGTATCCTACTTACTTAGTGTAATTCAATACTCGAAGTATTCTTGCCAAAAAGGGCACGTACCATAGTAATTTAATCTGGTGTCGTTTGAAACATACTTTAGCTAAAATAACAACTTGAACAAGAAGACCAACAATGGGGTTACGAAAACAGTCGAAATTGTGCCCAAATTTGCATAAACAGTTCGTCTAAAAAGATAACTTTAAACTAGATTCAACCAACTTTAATGCGGTCGAATTTTGTGAGTGTTTGATCGCATATTTCTACTCAAAAATACCCTTTAAAAAATCGTATCTGCTCACTTGAGTTCCGTGTCCATCTTTCTTGTGATTTCCGACTTCTATTTTTAATAAAGTTTGGAGAAATCCTCATCTTTTTGGCTGAAAATCTCGCGGATGGTTCACAGAAGAACTTGGCCCCAAAACGTCAATACATTCGCTTTCCTTTCATGCCAAATTTTCGTTGTAGATGATTCCAAAACCTCTTCTTTCTTCGCTTTTAAAACTTGCTGTAAAACCATTCTTTGCAACAGTATCGCCATTGTTCATTATTTTTGAAAAACTAAGGTTTTAAACTTGAAAAACTTTGCGAGTTTTTGGCCGATTTTCTTGCATGATACACCGTTGAAAAGCTCGAATTTCACGTTCTATTTTCGTATCCGTTGCTAGGCAACCCGATAAACACGTGCTCAAATATCATGCCCGCAAGTTAAGGAGTCATGTTAGGGCGCATTCGGGCGCATTGCCGCTTACCCCCTTGCCAATCTCAGGGCGCATTCGGGCGCATTGCCGCTTAATGAGTTAAGCTAACAAGTAACAATTGTGTATGCATGTCCTAATAATTTGTATCAGCCTAGCTGACATTAGCATATCATATAATAGTATAATTACTTATTTACTTAATAAAATATGGAAATTAACTCTTTCTCAACAGGGGCCAATTGCGTCGATCGCGAGCGATCGACGGCTCGAAATTTCATACTTTCGGTTCAGTGCATGCTTTGAAGACAGAAATACCACCAATCGATTCAGAAATAAAAGATAGACTAGTTCCAAACGATAGTTATAGTCATTATTAACATTGTAACGATTTATGGGCCTTTGAAAGTCAAACACGATAATATTGTATCAAATTACGCAATTGTCTGAACAAAATATAGACTAGCCATACCTTTCGCTGAAAATAACTTCGGCCCCTTCGCACATATCGTCTTTGTAATAGTCTTGTTCGAATCCCCATCAAAAACACTATTTAGAGTGTTATTTGCAAGCCTGTATCTTCAAATCTGTATCTTTTATCAATATATTTCTATTTCTTGTCCGACTGTGAGCTCGAAGTGAGTTAATCCCAACCGGAAATACGTCTGAAAACCGTCAAAACAATGCGACGTTTGTATCGTATGACCCTGGAAAGGCCAGAAATGGATTCGCAAGGTCAAATTGCACCTACACGCGTGTCTGGCGGATTTGGACCCCCCAGTAGATTTGGACCCCCCGGTCCAAATCTTCTAGTAGATATGGACCCCCCGGTCCAAATCTCCTAGCAGATATGGACCCCCTTTAGCGGATATGGACCCCCTTTTTTAAACAGTTTTATACACTAAAAACAACCCCGATAAAGGTGAATATGTTAAATTCATTAGTTTTCAGAAACCCGGACCTACTTATCAACCACACATAGTCATTTATTGTGAATAGAAAACTTTTTATTGCCAGTGAGATCCAAATTCAAAAATCTTAAACTACAAGTAAACTAGAAAGGTCCAAATGGAAAGTATGTATTACAACTATAAAAGGATAAATAAACAATGTTTCCTAGTTTGCCCAGGGCTTAAAAACTAGTCATGTCTATCAGAGATAAAAATCTGTTCGTATTTCTCGGGATCGTCTATAAATGTTAATGTTTATCATGACTCTGGCATCAGACAATGGCAACTAACTCAATCTCACGATTGA